CAGACTATATAATGAAAAATTTTTATCATGTAAAAATCCTTCAAACATTTGGAAACTTTTCAATAAACTCACAAGTAAAAAACAAATGTCCGTTGATGCTTATTCTGATGTAAATGCTTTAAACAAATCATTTATCAAGAAACAAATTAATATGGTTGTACCTGATGTACCTAGTCAAGAAAATGGTCATTTTCAGGGTTTTGAAGAAAAGGATGTACTATTATGTTTGAAGTCATTAAATCCAACACACAGCCTTGGTCCAGATGGTGTACCAAGCATTCTTCTCCAAAAGTGTGCAGACATCTTGTGTCATCCTCTTACTCAAATCTTTAACGCATCATTTAAGAGGGAAACGGTACCTGCTGACTGGAAAGAAATCAAGGTTGTACCTGTACAGAAATCATCTTCTGGAGCAGGTATAAAGTTTAGACCAGTCGCTATAACATCTCCTTTTTTGAAAACTATGGAGAAACTTCTTTTGAATATTCTTAAACCTTCTTTAAAAGCTTTTAGTGACCCTAAGCAGTTTGCTTATAAGTGTGGAAGAAGTACATTAGATGCAGCCATTGTACTACACCACAATATTGTTTCCTGCCTTGATAAGGGTGCTAAGTTCGTTCGAACAGCTTTTTAGACTATACTGCAGCTTTCGACTCTGTTCCTAGGACACTTTTATTAGGAAAGATGATTTCAGCTCAAACAGAGTCCTGGGCAACTAGATGGCTGTCTTCTTATTTTAAGGATAGGAAACAGCATACTGTTTTGGCTGGAAAGCGCTCCACTTCCCAGCTAACTGAAAGTGGTGTGCCTCAAGGTGCAGTACTTTCTCCATTTCTTTTCTCTTTCTTTCTGCATGACCTTCCGAACTCACCCAAAGTTAACTTCATTAAGTATGCTGATGACCTGACCGTTTCTGTCCCTGTAGTTGCCACATCGGATTGTTCCTATATGAATGGCTTCCTAGCTGAAGTTAAGGATTGGTCTCGCTCAAATGGTCTTAAACTAAATCCAACTAAATGTAACACTGTTGATTTCAGCTTGAGAAGTGAAAAAGACATGCATGGATTGATTCAATCTCATGATTGTTGTAATATTGATGGTACCATGATAGAGAGTAAGTCAAGTGTTTCTTATCTTGGCATTAGTTTCTCGTCAAATCTTTGCTGGTCGTCTCATATTCTTATAGTTTCTAAGAAAGTTTTCCGTCTGACTTATTACATAAAGAAGTTGAGACACTCAGGTATAACTCAATCTCTTATCATACAATTTATTAATTCATGTGTTTTGCCCATCATTCTTTATTGTTCTCCATTATTCTTCCCTGGGCTACTCAAGAAAGATCATATAATACTACGAAGAACATTGAGGGCTGTAAGTAGGGTCAGTGCTATCCCTTTGACTGAACTAAATGACACTGTTGTCAATAGGCATATGAATTCTTGTAAACACTTAGCTAAAGTTATCTTATCTGATAGTGAACATCCTCTTTATTCACAATTGTTTCCTTGTATCTCTTCGGGTAAGACCAGAAGAAATTTTATAAACATTTATGCTCGTACTACAAAATATAAAAATTCGACCGTTCCATATTTGGCACGAGTATTGTGTGAAGAGACAAATATCAGAAAAGAACTTTTACAACTTTTGAATCAATAACTAAACTATAAAATGTAATGATGCATATTAATGCATGTGTTATTTGTTATATTATTTATTTATTATTCACTATGACCTAGAAATGGTATGATTTTGTTGGGTTTTTTATTTTTATTTATTTTTTTTATTATTTTTTCCTATTAACTATCAATATTTTAACATTTTATATATTTATATAATTATAAACAGAGCTAAACCATTGCAATATGTAAAAGAAACGCTGAAAATTCCATGCTGTAAATTTTTATTGTTGTGGAATAAAGTGATTATTATTATTATTATTATATATACAAAACGAAATCTGATCCGCTCACTAACTCACAGAATCCACAACATTTGCAGTGCGGAAACTATAGAAGAAGAGCTGAAGTCCCTGAAAAGAATCCTGCTTGAAAACGGTTACCCGGAACGTTTCATCACAAAAGCTATGAAGCCCAGTCAATGAAATCCACAACAGTTGGTCTAAGCCAGCCACGTAGGAAGGTGTAGACTTCTAGGCTGGGGTCCTCGGGACGGTAAAAACAAGTGGTTGGAAACAATTGGTGACATGGCTCAAAACCGTTCTCAATGGCGCAGATGCATCAACTCCCTGTGACTTATGATCTTCAATGAAACTGTTTTGTATTTCTTTATTACTCCTTTGTCTCACACCTCTGCTCACTGTTTCTATTATGCTTTTCTTGTACTTTCTTCTCTTGCTTCGCGTGCTACACGGAATGTGGCGACTTGAACTTCCGCACATTTGTGCAAAGTTCTATGTCGAAAACAGACAGACAGAGACATGAAGCCCAAAACACAAAAACCATCCATGCCTACTGCTCCCAAGAAACTTCTGTATTTGAATCTAGAATTCAACGGAGATTCTTCAGCAGAAACACTGAGAAACCGCCTGTGCCCTCCACTGAAGAAAACCTTCTTCGCAGCGGAACTCAGACTAACTTTCTCTAAGAAACCAATGATTCGCACGAACGTGAAGGATAAGCTTCCACTGGGGGCCTCATCAATGTGCATCTACCAATTCACCTGCTCATGTGGAGCTAGGTATGTCGGCCGTACCCAGCGTTTGCTATCCAAACGAATCAGCGAACACTTACCTTCATGGTTTTATAAAGGAGAAAGAAGATCCCCCCGCCACATATCTATCCTAGAACACTTGATCGAATCCGGACACCAAGCAAACCCACAAAACAACTTCTCAGTTATCTACACAATACGTGGGAATCTTGCCAAAAGAGTACGAATTAAACTTCTTCAAACTGCAGAAGCAATGGCAATTCACATATTGAATCCTGAACTCTGCATACAAAAGAAGTTTGTTCAGTCACTAAATCTACAATGGTCCTGATCTATCTTAACACCAAATACGTAATTTTGTCTTACCTCTTTCTTCTTTGTTTGTCTATTTCTTAATTGCATTATTTTCTACCCCCACCCTCTATTAAATCTCTACGCTCATGACGACTGTTGCTAACTCTATTTTCGTTTATTTTTAAGTGAATTCTACTCAGCTATTAAAGTGAATTCTACTCAGATTATTAACTTGACTCTCATTCATTTTTTCATTGAACCCTATCAATTAGATTACGTCACCCAACCTACTTTTGTAACTTTATTTTAGTTTCTAACCGATTAACGCCTTCTAAATTACGTAATTTGTTTGTCAAAAATTAACAATTGCATTAACACATCTTTGGAAATATTCCTTTTGTTGCCAAGACAAATTACTATAAATTTGCGATTTGTACAGCTTGAGAATGATATCGCCGAAAAGAGTAACTTTTTGCTGAACACCTTTTCTTTTCGATGACTGAATGGAAATTTTCAGGTAATGATGATAATACCAGGGAATACTGAACAGCTGATTCATACTAGTTTGGGAATCATCGGGAGTACGCACCCACTAGGATTCGAATCAAGGACCTCATGGTTAGAAGGGGAGCTCGTAGGCTATTAAGCCGCTGGGGCCCGATTCAGTGGCCAGCTCATGAATTCTAGCTTCTACCAATTCGTGATTTAGCGCGACCCCAACCAATGTCATCGGTGGGACATCCATTCTCACACGTGACATCTGGATGGAAGGTCCTGGGTTGGAATCCCATTAGGTGCGTACTGCTGATGGTTCCCAAACTGGGATGAAACATCTGTCTAGTACTCCAGTGCTGGTTTTCAATGGTTTTCCAACTGATATCAATCCGTGGATCGACTCAAAAAACAAAACTAACCCTTACTATAGAAAATGATGATAATAATTATTATTTTATAATGGTTTTATCAATAATAAGGATGAAAAGTGAGGCAATCTTTCATTACAAGAATAACGAAAAACAGCACGATTAAACAAACAAATGTTGAGGTGGATAGGGTAGTGGATAAAGGCTAAGAAATACAAATGAACCAATTAGGTAATGCTAGAGATTATAAGGGAAGTAAATGAAACACGTTTTTAATGAAGATGTGATAAGATTAAGGGATGATAAGCGATTTCATTATGTAAACAAACGCTGATTTTATAATCTTACACACTTATCAAATCCAACAATCTATTATACTTGGTTTTGTTATCTTTACCAACTGGTCAATTTGACATTTGTTATATATAGGCTAAGATTTTGTAAATTCTGGTTTAATATTACTACTTTGATGATAAGGCTATCAGAAGCACTAAATACACACTAATATCGATTTGTTTTTCATTCATTGGGAAACATGATAGGAGAGGGATTGTAAATATAAGTAAGGGGTAAGGAAAATTGGCAAGTTAGGGGTCAAGGTTACAATAAATGGTGTCACACGTGAGTGGGTCCAGGACACAGAGACAGTATGCATTAAACAGAAGATGGTAAAACTGTGGTGAAAACTACATTATGAAAATAACCGATATGTGAAATGAAGGCATATATTGACAAAAGAGATTATAAATTCGAATAGTATTAATAAGAAGTTCGGTAGCAGTATTGAAAGAATGTTCAAATGAAGGGTATAAGGTAGGGATTCTATTTGTTTCAGGTTAGACCACAGATTGATATCAGTAAGAGAACCATTGAAAACCAGTACTGGAGTACTGGACAGCTGTTTCATCCTAATTTTAGGCTCATCCGCACCCATTGGGTTTCATAACCAAGACCTTTCGGCCACTGGGACTCGACTCAATGAACCATGAATTCTCACTTTTACCATTTCGTGATTTCAGCGCGACCACCAACTAATGTCACCGGCGGGAAATCCATCGTCACTTCCGACTGGATGAACCCCACTGATCACGACCTCTCACTAAAACTCCAGGAAACTCCGTCCTGTAGCCATTCAGACTGAATGGTATTAATTTCAAAATGCTTTAAACTAACCTCCATACACTTCAGAAGTTGAAGCAAATAAAATCTTCGAATGAGTACGACGAGCCAATCCTAAAAAAATAAAAACGGAATTGAAGTTATGTACAGTTTAAAAAGGGGCATTTCAAACTCAGATTTCGTCAATAGTCATAAGGTGTTCAGTTTGAAGGAAATCTCCAAGAAAGTGGAATGGTCAACACGTTCAATCTTAAAGTGATAAAAAAAATAAACAGTACTTATTGAATTAACACATTTCGCTGGAAGAAGGACTCGTCCACTGAAACATTGTCACTTATACAATTCCCTTTTAAGATTAAATACAAAAACACATGAATTTAATTGAATTTGAGATTTTCCCGTCGATTGATTGGACCGAAGTGCTCGGTCTCAGGTTGACATGTTGGCTTCTTGTGCAGATGCCTCGACAATGTCTGGACATTAAGTTAGTATTTAATTGCCCACGGAAGGGGTGGATAATTGTCACCTCTATCTGTATGTGGCTTCATCATTCTGAAATCAGTTCAGGAATTTGCTACATTCAGCATAAAGAATAAGACTCAAACATTCAACACCAATGTCAAGTCGGTTAGTTCTTTCATATGGGTCAGAAATTTGCACTGCTTACGACGAAAAGGATTTTTAAGACTATTGCAGACTTTTGTCAACAGCTGCCCCGTTGGCTCCATAAAGAGTGACTGGCTGACTTGTTTCAACACAGAACTTTGTCTGTCTGTCTGTCTGTTTTCGACATAGAACTTTGCACAAATGTGCGGAAGTTCAAGTCGCCACATTCCGTGTAGCACGCGAAGCAAGAGAAGAAAGTACAAGAAAAGCATAATAGAAACAGTGAGCAGAGGTGTGAGACAAAGGAGTAATAAAGAAATACAAAACAGTTTCATTGAAGATCATAAGTCACAGGGAGTGGATGCATCTGCGCCACTGAGAACGATTTTGAGCCATGTCACCAATTGTTTCCAACCATAGATTTTTACCGTCCCGAGGACCCCAGCCTGGAAGTCTACACCTTCCTACGTGGCTTAGACCAACTGTTGTGGATTTCATTGACTGATGCCAAGTTTTTGTTTGACCGCCGCTAGCTTTTTTCCAGCCTGACCCTATATCCGCTAACATTGCTCGTCGAGGGAGGCGATGACTTGGCATACGTAACACATGTCCTAACCATCTCAGTCGATGTAGCTTCACGACTTCGTCGATTGATTTCCCCTGTTTACCTAGAACTCTACGCCTAACCTCCATGTTGCTCACCTTATTATGCCACTTTACACGGGAAATAGAACGCAGGCACCTATGATCAAAGACAGCTAGTCTTTTCATGTCTTCCACTCTCAGTGGCCAGGTCTCACAACCATAAAGGAGGACGGAGCGGACTGATGAGCAGTACACCCGCCCTTTGGTCGATAGTCGAACATCTCGTCTACGCCAGAGTCGGCGTAAACTAACAAATGCGAAACGAGCCCCTTGTATTCGTGCTGAGATTTCGTCAGAGATCAGCCCGTTGGGGCTGATGGTACTTCCCAAATAAGTGAAGCGGTCAACGTGCTCTACCACTTCACTTCCTATTTTTAAACTAGGCGTCGATGTAGTCCAGTCCTGTAACATCATCTTGCATTTGGCGGGAGCGAATCGCATGCCAAACATTCGTAGATTGCTGTTCAAGGTGTTTAGAAGACTCTGCATTTTGTCAGCGTCTTCGCCTAGAAGGACTATATCGTCTGCATATTCCAAGTCAACGAGATTATTCCCAGGTAGCAAGTCAATCCCTGAATCGCTGAAGTCACCTAGGGTTAAGTCCATTAACACATCTATGATGAAGTTGAATAGAAAAGGAGATAATGGGCATCCTTGACGGACACCACTGGTCGTCATCAGTTCAGATGACAGCTCGCCGTAAGCCCTCACCTGGCTGTATGAGTACGAGTAGAGTGCCTTAATCAGTGCAATATATTTTCTTGGAATTCCCTTTACAGCCAAGCATCTCCAGAGAACTTCCCGATCGACAGAGTCGAATGCTGCCTTTAGGTCAAGAAATATAATGACTGTTGGACGCCGGTAGGAATGCCTATGTTCTAGAATCTGTCGGAGGGTGAAGATATGATCAATACACCCTCTTCCTGGTCTAAAGCCTGCCTGGCTCTCTCGTGTTTGTGCTTCCCGAGCACCACTCAGTCTACGCATGATTATTGAGCCTAAGACTTTAGATACTATATTAGTCAAGCTAATCCCTCTGTGATTATCACAGGAAGACTTGTCTCCCTTCTTGTATATGGGGATAATCAGTGACTTACACCAACCCGATGGGACTTCTTCTGATTCCCAGACGCTGCCTAGTACCTCAGTTAATCCGGACAGTAAGCTGTCTCCACCGTACTTAAATACCTCTGGCGTCATTCCATCAGGTCCCGCTGCTTTGCCTAGTTTCAGATTGGTGACAGCTTTAGTAACCTCAGTTAGTGACGGAGGACCTGTATCTATATCCCATTCAGGGAGGTGTTGGATGCTCGGAAGGTTGAGCGTGGCTGTGGGCAAATTAAACTGCTCCTCATAATGCTCTTTCCAACGATCCAGTCGTCTATCCTGGAGCTAATTATAGTGCCATTTTTTTCCGAGATTGTCTCACTAATGATTTGTCTTCTCCCACCCGTTTCCCTGATGAGTCCAAAGAGTTGCCTGGTGTTGCCTATCCTCAAAGCTTTCTCCATCTCTTTGGCTTTTGTCGCCCACCACTGTTCACGGTCCTTGCGGAGACTTTTCGTAAGTTTCCTCTTGTGCAGCTTTCGCTCCTCATTGAATTCGGAGCTCGCCGGAATAACAGAACTTTGTAGAGATGTGCACCAGTTCAACTTGCCACATTCCCTCCTTGTAGCACACAAAGCAAGAGAAGAGTTAAGAGAGGTTCAAAAGAGAGATAGTAAACACCAGTATGAGGAAAATAGAATAGTGATATGGAAGAACACGAGTTTTAATGGATGGATATGGCGAATCACAAAGAGTGAATGCATCTCCGCCATCATCAAGGATGATTCTGAGCCACATCACCAAATGTCTCCAGCCATTATTTCTTTTAGAATCCCGACAACCTCAAATTAACTGTCAAAGATTTTTGTGAACTGATACCATGTTTTTTATATGACCACCACCAACAGATCTTTCTCACCCTATTCCTATGACAGCTAACATTTTCCGTTGAGCAAGGCGATGGCTAGGTTTCCGTGGCATATCCTAGCCATCACAATTGATTAACCTTCACAACCACATCGATTGATTTTCTTTCCTCACCTAACACTCGACTGGAGCCAAACCGCAATATTACTCACTCCATTACATTTACCACCTAAGACGGGAGATAAGATGCAGACATCCATGATTAAAGACAGCTAACCGGCGTTTTAATATCTTCCATTTTCAATGACGACATCTCACCGACAGCCATTAAGGGGGACAGAGCGAACTGCTGCTGTGGAGTACACACACCTTCTTTAGGGGCTAATAGGGAATCACATTTGCGTTAGTCACTACCAACAAGGTAATATCTTGAAAGGAATATTGTTGAATGAAAAACGTTACTTACAGTCAGTGGTGGTCAAACCAAAACATGGCTTCATCAGTCAATGAAATCCACAACAATTAGTTTAAGCCACGTAGAAAGATGTAGACTACCTCGGGACGGTAAACATCAATGAGGGCTGGAGACAATTGGTGATATGGCTCAAAATCGCTCTCAATGGCTGGCGCAGACGCATCCACTCCTTGTGACTAATACCCAATGAAACTGTATTGTTCTTCGATATTACTAATATTTTTGCCTCGTATCTCCGTTTACTGTCTGTATTTTGCGTTTCGTTTTTACTTTCTTCTTCTTCTTGTCTGGCCTTGTGTGCTGAGTGACGTGTGGCGCATGGAACTGCTGCACATCGGTGCAAAGTTCCATGTTGAAATCAGTCAGTCAGTTAGTCACAACGTATCATGCATCAGTGTATTTAAAATTTTGTTTTTATTTTCCATGTTAAATGTAACTCTTGAAAAATTGACTGTCATCACGAAGCAGTAACAGATGGAAAGGGAGACTTATAACAGAATCTATATTCTCATTAAGGTCACACCGGATACATGTAACAAAGGTGACTCAACAGCACAACTGTCAACAACCTGGAATATATATATATATATATACCCCGACCGAAAGCTGCTACCTTGACGTGGTGGTCGGGCTTGAACACCGCAATGACCTAATCAAGCTATACTGGCTGAGACTTATGTCTCTTGAGGTTCTACCATGCCAGGCAGGTTGTTTGGATAGCGGTTAAACAAAAAGCAGCTACCTCATCCAATACCATGATCCAAACAAATTCACAAAATTTCATGCCGGATCGGCCGTGGCCCGGATTAACAACGACCGCGCTTCCTGCTGCCGTGTCACAGGGCGGGAGTGATAAGTATGCTACTGAGGCACACAAAACAACAAAGAACGAACAAAAACAGGCCGCGTGTGACCGGCCACAAGCAGTTGTCCCCTGGGCTCTGCGGTCACGCAACCAACTTCCACGGTGTGGGCAGCCGGGAAGTAACAATCGCCCTCACAATCCAAAACGCACACAAAACCTCTCTAATCCTCACTTATCTTTGTCTTCATCTTCATCTCTATTACCTTGCCTTCCCCCCAGTGATGCAACTCCTCTACTTGATGGCTCCTCACTCCCTCTTCACTCTGTGTCCACTAAAAACGACGAAAGCCAAAAAACCACCACGGATAGTCTCCTAAAGCCACGCCACCAATTTCATATAGGAGCATTTAATGTTAGGACACTTTGCCAAATAGGACAACAAGCATCACTAGCTAAGACCCTGGCATCTCGAGCCATTGATGTATGTTGTGTTTCAGAAACACGCATACAAGACCCAAGTGTGGTTATTCACCTAACCCCACCTGGCCAACAGGATGAATCTTCAAAATTCACCTTGAGGGTGTCAGGAGATGCCACAGCTAGTTCACGAGGATTAGCTGGCGTAGGGATAGCTTTGAGTACTAGGGCAGAAAAGACATTGCTTGACTGGATCCCAGTAGATAGCCGAATGTGTGCTGTCCGTCTGAACGGATCAGTAAGAAGGAGAAAGGACTGCACTACTCGCCGATGCCTTTTCGTAATCTCCGCCTACGCCCCCACTGACTGCAGTTCGGATGAAACGAAGGATGAGTTCTACCAAAAGCTGTCTAGTTTGGTGAGAAAGGCTAAACGCTCAGATATAGTCGTTCTAGCTGGTGACTTTAACGCTCAAGTAGGGAAATTGTGTCAATCTGAGAAGGATGTCGGTGGCACCTATGGAGTTCCGTGCCAGCGAACCGACAACGGTGACCGTCTCCTACAGTTCTGTTCAGATAATCATTTGTTTCTTGTAAGCACTAACTTTAAACACAAGGAGAGACACTGTTTAACCTGGCGACCCCCATCATCAAACCAACGCTGGACACAAATAGACCACATAGCAATAAGCTATCGTTGGCGTGGGTCGGTAGGAGATTGTCGCTCCTTCTGGAACACGTGTGTAGATACCGATCACGCACTGGTCCGGGCTCGTGTGTGCTTACGACTGAACGGACGTAGGAAACAGCTGGCGGTAAAACCATCACGTCCCCAGCTCGATCAGGAAACTAAATCCCTATTTGAGGAAGAACTAGCTAAACGCATATCTGAATTCGACAGCTGTGCTCACCCTGGAGAAGCCTGGAAGAATATTCAGTCAGCTATAGATACAGCTGTAAAAGCTGTGAATAAGGCAAATCCAAAGGTGAGTAAAAACCACTGGATTTCGACTGCCTCATCCGAACTGATAGATGCTAGAAGACTTATTCCGGCGAGCTCCGAATTCAATGAGGAGCGAAAGCTGCACAAAAGGAAACTTACTAAAAGTCTCCGCAAGGACCGTGAACAGTGGTGGGTGACAAAGGCGAAAGAGATGGAAAAAGCATTGGCGATAGGCAACACTAGGCAACTCTTTAGACTCATCACAGAATCGGGCGGGAGAAGGCAATTCATAAGTGAGACTATTTCTGAGAAAAATGGCTCCTTAATTAGCTCTCAGGATAGACGCCTTGAACGCTGGAAAGAACACTTTGAGGAACAATTTAACTTGCCTACAGCCACACTGAACCTCCCCGCCATCCACCACGTACCCGAATGGGATATAGACACTGGTCCGCCGTCTGTAGGTGAGGTTACAAAAGCTATCAGTAATTTGAAACGAGGCAAAGCGGCAGGACCCGACGGAATTATTCCGGAGGTGTTTAAATATGGGGGTGACATACTAGTTTGTAGATTAACTGAGGTACTAGGCAAAGTCTGGGAATCAGAGACAGTTCCATCAGACTGGGGTAAGTCACTTATTATACCGATATTCAAGAAGGGAAACAAGTCCTCGTGTGATAATCATAGGGGGATCAGCCTAACGAACATAGTCTCTAAAATCCTAGGCTCAGTAATCATGCATAGACTAAGCAGAACTCGGGAGGAACAGACAAGGGAAAATCAAGCAGGCTTTAGACCAGGTAGAGGGTGCATAGATCATATCTTCACTCTTCGACAGATTCTAGAACATAGACACACTTTTCGGCGTCCAACAATTGTCATATTTCTTGACTTGAAGGCGGCCTTCGACTCCGTGGATCGAAAGGTACTATGGCAATGTCTGACTGTGAAGGGAGTGCCAAGAAAGTACATTGCACTAATCAAGGCACTCTATTCAAACTCACGTAGTCGTGTAAGGGCTTATGGGGAATTGTCATCTGAATTGGTAACAACCAGTGGTGTCCGACAGGGATGTCCACTTTCCCCATTTCTGTTTAACTTCATCATAGATATGCTAATGGAAGTATCCTTAACTGAACGTAGTGACTTAGGAATCGACTTGTTACCAGGGAATAATCTTATGGACTTAGAATATGCAGATGACATAGTCCTGTTAGGGGAGGATGCTGACAAAATGCAGAGTCTTCTGAACACCTTGAGCAGCAATCTTCGTATGTTTGGCATGCGATTCGCCCCTACAAAATGTAAGATGCTGCTACAGGACTGGACCACGTCAACCCCTAACTTAGTGATAGGGAGTGAAGTGATAGAACATGTTGACCACTTCACCTATTTGGGAAGTTGTATTAGCACCAACGGACTGATTGGCGATGAAATCTCAGCACGGATCCGAAAAGCTCGAGCTGCTTTCGCTGACTTACACCATCTCTGGCGTAGGCGTGACATCCGGTTATCAACCAAGGGACGTGTGTACTGCTCATCAGTTCGCTCCGTCCTTCTCTATGGCTCTGAAACATGGCCAATACGCGTTGAAGACATGAAAAGGTTGACTGCTTTCGATCATAGATGTCTGCGATCTCTGTCTCACGTTAGGTGGTTTCACAAGGTAAGTAATGTTGACGTTAGGCGTAGAGTGTTGGGCAAAGAGGGAAAATCAATCGACGAGGCTATAAAGTTACATAGACTAAGATGGCTAGGTCACGTGGTGCGCATGCCTAACCACCGCCTCCCCCGACGGGCATTGCTAGCTGATATAGGTTCAGGTTGGAAAAGAGCCAGTGGTGGCCAAACAAAAACATGGCATCAATCCATGAAATCCTTGACAGTTAAACTGAGTCAGGTAGGGAGATGCAGACTCCCGGGTTGGGGCCCTCGGGACTCTAGGAATCAATGGCTGGAGACAATAGGTGACATGGCTCAAAATCGTTGTCAATGGGCGCAGATGTATTCAGTCTCTGTAATCTTTCATATTCCTTTCTACCATTACTCATTCTGTTTCACTTGTGAAACTTTATTGATTCTCTCCACTCATCTTCTTGTCTACCTTTGGAACGTAAAAACTCGAACTGCTGCACTTCGGCGTCAAGTTCTATGTTGAATCCAGACAAAAAATGGGATAATAAGATTGTCCATATAAATTGTGCAGTTAGTCAAAATAATGGTTCTATCAATAACAAAGACGAAACAGTGAAGCGATCTTTGATTACATGAATAATAAGACAAACAGAATGATTAAACCAACAAATAAATGTGTTCAGATAGAAGTAGTAGTCGATAAAGGTTTAGGAAAACCAATGAACCGATTACGTAATGTTAGATTGTAAGGGAAGTAAATAAACTATGTTTTAATGATGGTGTGATAAGATTAAGGGATGATATGAGGACGATTGAAATTTTAGATAAAGGGTGGTGGAGACGTCATCAGTTGGTTAGGTCTTAAAAGGCCGACAAGGGAGGGAGGGATAATGGCTGTACGAACTTCTTTTAAGTGCACAGTTTAGGCTTAATAGTTGTTCGAATGCCTATTGCCTCAGATATGTACAGTAGACGAATACGAAATCTATTGGAAAGATTCGGTGGGATGCAATGAATCATACTGAATGCTTTTGTTTGCTCTACTTAATGAACACTACAGACTGAATGTGACAAAACGGAGCTACGGATGGTTTTTTATCTGTCATTTACCAAACCACGATGGGAGATGTTCCCTAACATGTGGGTCGGTTAAACTGTCTAGTACACAGTTGAACTAATAAGTGCACACGGATGAGTGACAAAACTATCTAGCTATTTATCCTTCTTTTGTGTAGCTTAGTAAACAAAAAAGCCAGAACTAGGCAACCGAATTACATAAATATAACAAACAGCCTAGAGCATGATTATTACAAAATAAGAAGAAAAGAAAGAACATGACCGTAACAAATTATAGTGGTCTGTTAATAATTTACTTGGTAATTCATCACCATAGTAACCAGAATCTTCCTTAAAAGTGGAAACACGCATTAAATTTGTAGAAATAAAAACAAACAGTTCAAAGAAAATAATTGGTAGATGGTGACTGGCAGTGAAATCCAGGATGCACATTTCGTCCTATTTGGGACACGTCAACCGAATGTACCTGCATTCGACAGGAAAATCTAAAATTGAATTTAATAACTAATATGACCCGTTGCATAAGAGGTGGCTGTCAGGGACCGAATGGTCTAGTGGATAATGCTTTGGCGTTTGGAACTATTGGCACTGGGCTCGAGCCTCGGTCGGAACATCATCACTCACTGCGGAATGCAGGTATATCCAGATAATGAGTCCCAAATAGAACGAAATGCGCATCCTGGATTCCACAGTGCTAGTCATCATCCACCAATTAACTTCTAATTACATGGCCAGAAATTGTTGAAGCATCTGCACAAGAAGCCGACATGTCAACCTGAGACCAAGCACTTCAGTCCAATCAATCGACGTCGTCAAAAATAGGATGTTGATGAACGAGAATAGAGACATATGCTGTTAAAGCTCTATGTTCCACTCAGAGCCCAAAGGAACAATACGTCATTATAATGAAAAACATGAATTATTTTCGAAAATAAAGAGCTTGTGAAAGAACATGAATAAGTAGGTGTTTAACTTTAAAGCCATGAAGGTCAACTTACCCAGCATATTTAAAGTACCTAAAGTATTTGCCTTGATAGTACGTATAGGATTTTGCATATAATGCTGTGGGATGCTGGTGAAGCCAAATGATATATTTCATCCACTGTGAAAAAGACAAAAAATGAGAAGAAGAAATGTACTACACAAGCGCGCACACACACACATACACATTTCATCACATCTCAATTCCCTATCATCATTGTGATTTAGATTTTAGATTTAGAATACAATAGCATTACGAATTCAATAGGGATATGATAATAATAGTGATAATAGTAAAATAAGCTTTATTCCAAAACAGTATTTGCGAATACAGAATGGAATTCTCAGCATTTTATTACAGTATTCCATCCAGTTAGTACATTATCAATAAATAAAATTCTACATAGATTAAGGGTAATCTCAGTTAGCTTTGACAACAACATATTGGCATGTCAGTGGCAATGCCAAAATTGAACAGTGTTTGAAGGTGTTAGAAAAGTAGGTGCTAGCATATTTACTCCCGTAGACAGAAGAAAGAAACAAAGCAGCACATAAAAGACAAAATAAAAGAAAGACAGAGAGAAAAGGAAAAGAAAGAAAGAAAACGTCGTGCCTATAAATGATATGAGTTGGAAAGACGAGATCCCGGTGTTGTTCTACTGACTATTTAATAAGTTATAGGTATCACGCCTACTGCTTTCTTTATCGCACAGAACACGAGCCAAGTATGGTATGATTGAGTTTTTGTATTTGCTAGTGCGAGTATATAGTTTTCTATATAGGCTTCTGGTTTTCCCTGATGAGATACAAGGGGAGAGTTGTGAATGAAGAGGGTGTTGTCACTTAGATAAAATGGATTTTGCCCATTTTTCACATGAGTCCATGTGCTTGTCAACCAAAATATTAACAAGCTGGTTAAGTGACACGTTTCTTACCCTACTGGAAACCTTTAACATCCTGCGTAATAAGGCATAGTCTTTCTTCAGTAGCCCTGGAAAAACTAAGGCGAAACAATAGAGAATAATAGGCAGAATGCAAGATTTAACGAATTGTAGGAGTAAGGGTTGGGTTATACCAGAATGTCTTAACTTCTTGATGTAGAAGATAAGACGGAATATTTTCTTTGAAATCATCAAGATATCAGACGACCAGGAAAGATCAGCAGATAGAATAACGCCAAGATGTTTAATTCCCGACTTGGTGTCAATTTCAGTGCCATCTATGTTGCACACCTCGTGAGTTCTAACCAGTTTGTTTAGGTCAGATTTATGCCTAAAGGTGAAATTGACTGTTTGGCATTTAGGGGGGGGGGTTAAGGTAAGACCGTTCTTCTTGGCCCACTGGCTGATTTCTGATAAAAAGCCATTTAGTTTGGAGCAGTCAGTTTGACAAGTGGTAGGCAATGATACAGTCGGGTCGTCAGCATATTTAACAAAATTAATGTCATTTGAAGATGTTAAGTCATGTAGAAAGAAAGAAAAGAGAAGTGGGAAGAGTACAGCTCCTTGGGGGACACCAGCTTCAGTGAGCACAGCAGAGGGGCTTTATTCCAAAGAATAATAATTAGGCAGAATAGAATTTTCGACATTTTTACACATATTGTAACAGCTCCATTTATGAATATTCTTACGGTGAGTTATCACCTGAAGCGGTGACAACTAGTGATGTCCGTCACGGATGATCACTGTCCCTATTTCTATTCAATTTCATCATAGATGTACGAATGGATTTAATCTTAAGTGACTTCGCGTACTCAGGGACTGACCTTTTACCAGAAAATAATCTCTTTGTCCGCTCAGTCCTCCTTTGTGGCTGTTAGACCCGGTCAACGAAAGTGGAAGACATGAAAAGGCTACCTGTCTTTGATCACAGGCGTCTGCGTTCTGTTTCCCGTGTGAAGTGGTATAATAAAGTGAGCAACATTGAGGTTAGGCGTCGAGTTCTAGGTAAGCAGGGGAAATCAATCGACGAGGCTGTGAAGTTACATAGACTGAGATGGTTAGGACATGTGTTACGTATGCCTAGTCATCGCCTTCCTTGACAATGGACATTGCTAGCTGATAGAGGGTAAGGCTGGAAAAGAGCTAGCGGCGGTCAAACCAAAACATGACTTCATCAGTCAATGAATTCCACAACAGTTATTTTAAGTCACGTAGGAAAGTGTAGACTTCCTGGTTGAGGTCCTGGGGACGGTAAACACCAATGGCTGGAGACAATTGGTGCTATGAATCAAAATTGTTTTGAATGGCTGGCGCAGATGCATCCACTCCTTGTGAATTATAATACTCAATGAAAGTATATTGTTCTTCGCTATTACTGTTCCTTCTCTCATGTCTCTGTTTACTGTCTCTATTTTGCGTTCCTCCTTACTTTCTTCTCTTGCTTTGTGTGCTACATGTAGTGACTTAAACTGCTGCACAACAGTGCAAAGTTCTATGTTGGAACCAGTCAGTCAGTTTATGAATATTATCTTCACACAGAACCCGTGCTAAATATGGTATAGTTGGATTTTTATATTTAGTAGCTGTACAAGCATAAATTCTTATGAAGTTTCTACTAGTTTTACCCGAAGATATACACGGAAGGGGTTACGAATAAGTGCAGAGGATGTCCGGTATCAAGTGCTTGCAAGAAATGAAGTGCCCATTGACAATAATGTCAGTTGATTGAGTCAAAGGGACACCACTAACCCTGTTTACAGGTTTCAGTGTTCTACGTAATATATCTGACATAGTCTTTCCTGAAAAGCCCAGGGAAGAATAAGGGTGGACAATACAGAAGCTGAATGGGCATAATACATGAATTAGTAAATTGCAGGAGAAGAGGTTGAGTTATACCGAAAGCTTCAGCCTCTTTATGTAATAAGTTAAACGAAAAATGTTCTTAGAAATACACAAGATATGAGACGACCAACAGAGATTCGAACAGAAACTGATGCCGAGATACGAGATATTGTATTTACTCCCTATGACACAGTGTTGTCAATATTACAGACTTCATGGAACTAAATCAGTCAGTCCACACAAGTCTTGTTCACATCTGAAACTTAAATCAACACGACATATTTAGATGGATTGAGTTTAAGACCATTCAGGTGAGACCACCCGTTAACTTCAGATAAGAATCTATGCATATAAGAACAATCCGATACAGGAACTACTGCGACAGAAATGGTTTGGCCATCGCCATATTTAATGGAGTTAGCTTTAAAAGAAAACGGTACATCAAGCAAAAAGAGAGAAAAAAGAATAGAGGGATAACAAGACCTTGAGGCATACCAACTTTTGCAAACAGAAAAGTAGAGCGCCCCCCTCCATATTTGAAACTGTGTTGTTTCTTACCTGAGAAATAGGAAGACAACCACTTTGTAGCCCAGAACTCAAGGCATACCAAAATCAGCTTTCTTAGTAAAAGTACCACACAAATAAGGCGTTGGTGACACATAGCGGTTAGGACGCTCACCGACCATACAAATAGTCCGGAGTTCGATCCTCTGCTGACCACACCTGATATCTATGGTCGGCCTGCAAAATTTGGGCTACTGATATCACAGCAGGCCGTGCTGAAAATTCCATACCTGTATCAAAAATACGGTGTGGAATCAAGGTGTAATCAAAAAAAGCGGTAGTGTAGTCTAAAAAGGAGGAATGAACAAACTTTGAACCCTTATCAAGACTTGAGACAATATTGTGGTGGAGTACAACGACAGCATCTAAAGAATTTCTACTGAATTCAGAAGCAAACTACTTGGGGTCACTGAAAGATTTCAAAGAAGGTTTAAGAGGAAGCAAGAGAAGTTTCTCCATAGTTTTCAAAAATGGGGACGTGATGGAGATTGTCCTAAACTTTAGACCTGATCGTGATGAAGCTGTAAACAGTATTTTTGACATTTTCACTAAAAGGTTATACACATGAGATGTGAGTGATTCGTTTTTACTCGTTTCATGCGATTATAACGCACCCGCTTTGCTGAGATTTCGTCAATCAAGTCGTGCCGCTAACATATCATTCTGACATTTGTTATTCCTAATGAACAATCTTGTTTTCCGTCACACAGAAAACACAACTGTTAAAATAACAAAATTTCGTTCATCAACAGCAAACACAGAACTACCAGTGGATACCAATCCTTCTTCCGACAAAAGTAGATATCTTGAATGAAACCATGCTACTGAAGGCCAAGGACCAAATGAAATTCTTTTCGAAGCACTGAAAATGAATTCAGAAACCGCAGCAGGTATGCCGATGCCATTATTACAAAGAGTTTGAAGGGAAGAAGTGCTTACTGATTTGAAGAAAGGTTACCTTGTCAATCTATCAAATAAGGGTTACTTACGCCTTACAAGAACTGACGTAGATTCATGTCCTTGTCCACGCCAAGCAAAACATTAAGTCATGTCATGCCGGAGAAGCTGCACTGGATGCAAAACTCTGTCCGCTGGAACAAGCTGAATTCAGGAAAAGCAAATTATGTGCTGATCATTATTGTAACTCTACACACCATCATCACCATTATCATCGAATAGAGCATAAAATAGCAGTCTAATCTTTACATCAACCTGATCAACTTTGAAAAGGCCCTCGACAGCGTTGATCACGCGCCAGGCTCTTGAGAGGAACCCGAGTGGGAAACGATGAGTTGGGCGTGTGTCCAAGGGTGACGTAGAGGAGATTGTGTGAGAAGGAGGATATGAGAGCCTATGGGCAATCGTGAGGACATCTGAAGAGAAATGAAGAGACCAAGACATGATGGAGGTGTGTTGTTGAAGTTATATGTTCTACTCGGAACCCAAGGATCAACTACCATGCAGTCCGAACTGCCGCGCTCTTCCGCTGACGACGTGGAGATTTGAAAGACTCATATAGGCTGAATAGAGACTTGAAACTTCTGGATGACTGATGGCACCGGTCAATGATATGACTTTCAACCTGAAACAATGCAAAGTAGAGCAATTACATACCCATGGGCCGCAGTCTGCCTGTTTTCGACATAACTTTGCACATATGTGCGCCAGTTCAAGTCGCCACACTCCATGTAGCACACAAAGCAACAGAAGAAAGTACAAGAAAAGCGTTATAGAGACAGTAAACAGAGGTATTAGACAAAAGAATAGTAGTAACGAAGAACAGTGTAGTTTCATTGAAAACCATAAGTCACAAGGAGTGGATACATCTGCGCCACTGAGAACGATTTTGAGCCATGTCACCAATTGTTTCCAACCATTTGTTTTACCGTCCCGAGGACCCCAACCAGGAAGTCTACACCTTCCTACGTGGCTGGCTTAGACTAACTGTTGTGGATTTCATTGACTGGTGCCAAGTTTTTGTTTGACCGCCACTAGCTTTTTTCCAGCCTGACCCTATATCCGCTAACATTGCTCGTCGAGGAAGGCGATGACTTGGCATACGTAACACATGTCCTAACCATCTCAGTCTATGTAACTTCACACCTTCGTCGATTGATTTCCCCTGTTTACCTAGCACTCGACGCCTAACCTCAATGTTGCTCACCTTATTATGCCACTTCACACGGGAGATAGAACGCAGGCACCTATGATCAAAGACAGCCAATCTTTTCATATCTTCCACAGAGCATAAGTCACATTCCCTGTGCCGCTTGGGTCGCGTTCTAACAGAAAAGACAGACACAAGTGTGAATTACGCAGGTTATGTAGCGAAGGCATATGCGGTTATACACTTCACCCATTGACAGTTCGATAAGCTCGCTCCTAAGCTTGTCCTCAAAGTTGTACAAAACATACGTCGAACTGCATATCTTGAAGTGCACAGTATCAGTGTTCCCCACCCCGCGTTACTTAGAATAGAGGCCACACTTTTGGAAAGGGATAAAGACGGGATTCAAAAGGGGCGATAAGTCTCTGTAATGAACTATGTGGTGAAAGGTTGAAGAAATGAGCTATTTTTCACAATTAGTTACCGTTAACTTGGGGGTGACATAATTACTGTCTACAAGATTACAAATGATCAGAGTCACTCAAACAAAGGTATTCTACATCACATTTTCATTGGTCTTACTCTTAGCCCCTGGAACTCTCTGCCAGCAGATTAGGCTACCGTGCCATCCTTCAAAAGCTTTGGGCAGAGGCTGGACAATGGACATGCTGCGACACAAGGACTGCGTCCACCGAACGGCCTATGACTTTAAAACTTACATACTTTCAATAGGTAAACACCAAAACTCGTCTTTTTACCACTTCACATTCACCCTTATCTTGCTCTGCTGACTACCCCATGAATTCATTCCTTTATATATATATATATATATAATATATATATATATATATATATATATATATGACTTGTAATTAAAAATGTAGTAAGAAAAATAATAAAATAATTTGAACAATTATAATTTTTAAAAGGCTTAGGGGGACAGCAAAGCAGTTAAGTTTATACAGTCATTATCGTATTTCCGAACATCATCCTCCATGGCTAAGCAAGGAACAAATAAGACCTGTTCTTAGTTCTGGTTTGGCACACCTTGTAGACAGTGAGCATAAAGTTGATGGTAATACAGAATTTAAAGTTACTTATCTCATTTCTGCTAATCTTAATTTTGCTTTACGTCTTCGTCTACTACATACAACAGGTAAAGCCATACGAATCCACCTGAAGAAGCCAGTGAAACCTGTGTGTTCAGAAGAAATTCGTACAGCCACTCTCCTTACCTTGACTATCGTTACATGAATATATAAACCTAACTACTTTACCATTCCCCTCAGCATTTTAAAAATTATAATTGTCCAAATTATTTTGTGCGTCGCTGGTACAGCGGTTAGGACGCTCGCCGACCATGCACATAGTCCGGTGTTCGATCCCCAGACACGGACGCACTCCTTTACCTCGCTAAGCCAGAAATAATGCTGGTAAAGAGGAAAGGTTGGGCATGAGGCTAGCGAGCCCATCCTGGGAATCAGAGACAGTGCCATCAGACTGGGGTAAGTCACTTATTATACCGATATTCAAGAAGGGAAACAAGTCCTCGTGTGATAATCATAGGGGGATCAGCCTAACGAACATAGTCTCTAAAATCCTAGGCTCAGTAATCATGCATAGACTAAGCAGAACTCGGGAGGAACAGACAAGGGAAAATCAAGCAGGCTTCAGACCAGGTACAGGGTGCATAGATCATATCTTCACTCTTCGACAGATTCTAGAACATAGACACACTTTTCAGCGTCCAACAATTGTCATATTTCTTGACTTGAAGGCGGCCTTCGACTCCGTGGATCGAAAGGTACTATGGCAATGTCTGACTGTGAAGGGAGTGCCAAGAAAGTACATTGCACTAATCAACGCACTCTATTCAAACTCACCTAGTCGTGTAAGGGCTTATGGGGAATTGTCATCTGAATTGGTAACAACCAGTGGTGTCCGACAGGGATGTCCACTTTCCCCATTTCTGTTTAACTTCATCATAGATATGCTAATGGAAGTATCCTTAACTGAACGTAATGACTTAGGAATCGACTTGTTACCAGGGAATAGTCTTATGGACTTAGAATATGCAGATGACATAGTCCTGTTAGGGGAGGATGCTGACAAAATACAGAGTCTTCTGAACACCTTGAGCAGCAATCTTCGTATGTTTGGCACGCGATTCGCCCCTACAAAATGTAAGATGATGCTACAGGACTGGACCACGTCAACTCCTAACTTAGTGATAGGGAGTGAAGTGATAGAACATGTTGACCACTTCACCTATTTGGGAAGTTGTATTAGCACCAACGGACTGATTGGCGATGAAATCTCAGCACGGATCCGAAAAGCTCGAGCTGCTTTCGCTGACTTACACCATCTCTGGCGTAGGCGTGACATCCGGTTATCAACCAAGGGACGTGTGTACTGCTCATCAGTTCGCTCCGTCCTTCTCTATGGCTCTGAAACATGGCCAATACGCGTTGAAGACATGAAAAGGTTGACTGCTTTCGATCATAGATGTCTACGATCTCTGTCTCACGTTAGGTGGTTTCACAAGATAAGTAATGTTGACGTTAGGCGTAGAGTGTTGGGCAAAGAGGGAAAATCAATCGACGAGGCTATAAAGTTACATAGACTAAGATGGCTAGGTCACGTGCTGCGCATGCCTAACCACCGCCTCCCCCGATGGGCATTACTACCTGATATAGGTGCAGGTTGGAAAAGAGTAAGTGGTGGCCAAACAAAAATATGGCCTCATCAATCCATGAAATCCTTGACAGTTAAACTGAGTCAGGTAGGGAGATGCAGACTTCCGGGTTGGGGCCCTCGGGACTCTAGGAATCAATGGCTGGAGACAATAGGTGACATGGCTCAAAATCGTTGTCAATGGCGCAGATGTATTCAGTCTCTGTAATTTTTCATATTCCTTACTACCATTACCCATTCTGTTTCACTCTTATACTTGTCCAACTTTATTAATTCTCTCCACTCATCTTCTTGTCTACCTTTGCGTGCTATTTGAAACGTAGCAACTCGAACTGTTGCACTTCGGTGCCAAGTTCTATGTTGAATCCAGACAGACAGAGAGCCCATCCTGTAAAATTAAACACTGCTACAGAAACTTCAAGCCACTAGTCTGAGGCCCTGTTCCACTGGGAACGTGAAGGGAAAAAATTATTTTATTATTTTTCTGACTACCTTATCTTTAATTACAAGTTGTCATTGTCTAAATGGTTCTATTTTTCTTTAATTACCTACTACGTGATCTCCGTGAACGCTCGCTTATGCCTTAGTTACCTTTGACTCCTTGCGAAATTATGCATTATGCAATCCAATTGTTGTAACCATTTTCACTCCTTAATTGTTTGTACTAACTTTCTTGTTTAATTATCCCACTCCTGCTGTGACATGCTGATAGTGACCAATTATTCTTAACAAAAATATCACCACTTGACTGGTAAAATATTGTGTATTGTATTAAAAATGCTATACATAATATTTACAAGAGTAGAGCCAGGGATGAGGATCTAATTGAGAAGGCAATATTTCTTCGCTCAATATATACATTAACATACAAACCACAAAAAAAATATTTTTACCTTCCACATATATGGGATTTGTCACGTCATGGTGTAACAGTTCAAAGTTACTATGTCCAATCCACTGTTCAATATTCTGTCGTTTGCCAGTGACGAAATTGTCCAAAGCAATAACTTCATGACCATCTTGCATCAGTCTATCCACTAAATGCGAACCAACGAAACCAGCACCTCCCGTTATCTGTTAAACGGAGAATAAAGAGAAGAATATAAGATTCTGAAATCGAATTATTACAGAGGTATTATTACAAACTACGTGTATTATTTATTAGTTATTATTGTTCCCCCAGGGGACATAGGACTTCAACAGTACATCTCCATTTTATCCTGTTCTCTGTTGTCCTTTTTAGCCAGCTCCACGATTACCTATACGCCTTCATATCCTCCTTACAAAATCCTCTCCATGTCGCCCCTGGATCCACGCACAACTCGCTATTTTTCATTCGAGTTCCACTCGGGAGATGGCCTGGAGTTTGATGTCGCTAAATGGTCTTTTTGTTGGGTAACAGGTTCTTGGTTAGTTCGTTCCGAGAGTTTATTGTTGATAATCCTTTCTGATCGGTCATTTGATCATTAGTGTGGAGCGAGGATACCTGTTGATGAAAGTCTGCAACTGCCTATTCGAAATGCCTTTTGGGAGGCGAAAAGTCTCTGATTTATACAGAAGAGTTGACTCAACCCTAATGATGAAGATGTAAATCTTGTTCCTTATTCTGATTGCAAAAGATTTCCAAACCGCTTTCAGAGTGATAAAGGTCTGTTTTGCCTTTCTGATCACTGCTGGTTTTGAAATCCTGGTCTTTACTGTCGTTTTTAGTTGAAATGATGTTTCCTGAGCTGAGCCCGAATAGCTCAGTGGTAACGTCTCTGACTGCAGCACTGGGTGACGCCGGTTCGAATCACAGAAGGGACATGAGTTCCTGCAAGGGTGCAGATACGTCTTGCTGACGAATGCCAACTAGCACGAAACAGAGGTCCAAGGCTTCCTGCCGATTACCTCCAACCATCTAATATCATCAAATCAGTGTGCACCGTGATGGCGAGCTATCTAGAATGGTGGCCACATTACAACCTGACTGACGGAATTCAGTCTGTACCAAAGATATCACTAGATACATTACACTAATTGCTACTGTCAAATCAAAAGATGATAAAAGTGTTAGGCATGAAACCAGTAAATAAAACGGCTGTACACGTTAACTTCAACATCAATTTCCGAGGGTTTCAATATTCTCCCACATAGGTCTCCTCAGTGATGCTATGTAATGTCTCCGACTTTGCTCGGATAGCTTCAGTGAAGCTACCCTTTGCAATTTCATCCTTCAGTTGAACTTGAACTGTGGTCTGTCGCCAGGTTTTTTGAAGGTTCCTTAAGTTAGATGACCGCCTAATCTCACATCTGTCCCTCCACATTTAGAATTCGACATGTTGATGATGCGTGTAAACCGGCCTGTACTATCAAATTATAATATGTTGTCATTTATTTACTACGTTATTTGGGCCAGGCTAGAGGGCCAATAGGTTGTGTGGCCAGAGTGCAGGTCTAGAACGATAGACGACTGCACAACAATCATCAGTATAAGTGCGGCTGTGCATCTCTTGAAAATAATTCGCAGAAAAGAAAATATGCCTCACTGTTAACATCTGCTTTTGTAAGTTAGACAGTATGCGCACTTAATATCATGTGGACTCAAGCACAAAATTGAACTTGATGCATTCAGTATGTCGAAGTACAAAAATTACTAAAAGCAGTCAATGAACACATGTATGCCAGTGCCCATCATTTAAAGACAATGAGTATTGTTGAAAAATAGAGACGACAGATTTCTGAAATTCGGTCGAATTAATATGTTCTTAAACAACCAATACCATCGGAACTAGGCAGAAAATCCCGTAACAATAAGGCGAATATTATTGGTTGCTACTGTCAGTGTAAGAGAAATTAGTGTCAGCCACGGACAAACATAGGCGATTTATAATGCAGTATAAGGCGCTGTATGTTGATAAGTCTGATAATTTCATAAGGAAAACATCCCGAGTACATGGAATTCAGTCACGTCAGAACACCACTTCTCGACTAGCAAAACAGACAAGCACTTGCGTACTGCTGTTGACCAACCAAAGTTAGATAACAAGTAAGAACTTCAGAAGCAAGAAACAATATAACCGCATATATTGCAAACCAAAACGTGGTATAGCCACCAAATAGTTTGACTGCATAAGAATTAAAATCCCCTAATCAAATGCGTGAAATCACTACACATCACAAATCTACTGCATTTAGTCTCGCACAAATAAACCCTATGTTATTCTGTCAACTGATGCAACACTTCTGTGTGTATACGTACACGGATTTAAGACCTCGACGGTAGTGCGACACTACTTAAGCCTCAGGAGGGGAATCTGAAAGCTACTGGGATCACGATGGCAACTATTCTGCATAGCCAACATAAAAACGTCAAAGCGCGAAGAGCAAGTAGAAAAGCCAAGCATTAATCATAGTCATAAATTAATAGGATGGAGAATTACTGTAAGAGACAAGGTACACCCTCTTATACTCTCCAAGGGTGTTGAGAAAATTATAAAACTGAGGAACACCAGCTGATTAAACGAAGACTATACGTGACGAACAAGAGATCACGTCCCGAGTGTTTCCCTATCCTTCACTCTAGTCGATCTTCCGAGAGGATGCAAGTCTCTTATTATATATAGCTGTGTTAAGATGAATATCCTCATCCCCTAGAAATCCACCACTCACAAAGCAAGGGCGAGAATTGACCAATTAAATATAGTGAAGCTAGAAATGGAGTACAAAAAACCGTTGTGAAAGTTCAAAAGACAAAAAAGACAGAAACATTTTGGTTATAACCATGCCTTAATATACTAAGGAATCTAATGTACATCAATTACCAATATCCTTTTTTTCTTCGTCCAGTGAAGGTTCTTAACAGGCAGATACCTTTTACTGCAACTCGCCTGGCCAGCATTGAGTGTACTGCCAAAACTGTCCAATTGGCACATGTTGCAATGCGAAACGTAAATTACTGTCGCTACATAAATCTGTGTATCAGTAAATCACATAATCGAAATGGAACTTACAATGAAGATGAATAACTTCATTGGCACTTGTAACTCAATCAATACATTAACAAAGTGTGGCAATGCATTCACATATAAAACAACACTATTCAAATTCGATTCGGCGTAACAACCACACACATTGAGATTTGCGGACTTTACAGGTCACAGAAACAAAGAACACAACGGATAATTGAAACAAGTGAGTGAAAATGGTTATGAAACTTAAAGATGTCACTATGGTCTCGCTTAATTCAACCAGTGTTCATGCTTTCATCACATGTCTTTATCTTTCACTTTCTTCTCGTGTTGGCTCGATCGTCCTTAGTCATGATGGCTGGTCTGAAAATCACACTTCGCACGTTCATATTAATTTAATTTTGTAATTTTTGATTTACAGCTTGATTCCACACTGTATTTTCAGTACAAGTATGGAATTTTCAGCATGGATATCGGTAGCCCAAATTTCGCAGGCTGACCATAGATATCAGGTGTGCGTCGGCAGGGGATCGAACCTCGGACCATGTGCATGGTCGGCGAGAGTCCTAACCACTGTGCCACCGACGCACACTGTCTAACGCCACTAGTACAGTGGGACCTTCCTTTAACTATTATTTTAACTTTTTTGTGAAGTATATTTTAGACGGAGTACATTTTACCTCCGTGTATTCCCTAATAACCGTGCTAATTGGCACTTCTACGAAGCACTAATGTCTAGCGTATGTTGTTTCCAACTACTAGTAGAGATCAATTAGTATCGCGCTATGTTCTTTCACACTTGTCGACTACAACTTTGGGGGAAATCTATAGTTATAACTGCCGTTCGAGGAACTCTTATGATGAAACTGGATTTCGAGTGTGACGTAGCAGCCAAAATTGCTAAAATTTACCTTCCTAAGATTATAAGAAAGGCATTTTGCTTATCTCATTCTTCATTGGAAAGCTTTTAATCTATGAGTCAAGGACCGAATCCCAATTCTTTTCGTCGAAGCATGTACATACCTGTCTACCTGAGCCAGTGAAGAATAAGTAGCATTCTCTGTCAATTACGTAGGAGTATTTTCGAACATTGTTCGGTTTGGGAAGCTAGTGTGAATAGGAATATCAGTGGCTATATTCTATGGCGCTTTATCAACTGTGTTCCCTGTTTACCTCCAAGTAACTGCCCTATAGTGACCTACGGGGTCCTCGATCATGGAAATGCGCCATTCATACACGACTGAAGCGCCGATAACTCGAAATTTTAAGCCTGGTTTATGTCTCCAGAGATAGTGAGAATGCTCAATCGCTTTCCCAAGTCCGCAGCAGTACTCCAAATGCATTTTGTGTTTTTATAGTAATTTTTCTTTTCGTTTCTTGTCAAAGGTTCTTCTTCCCTTCCTTCGCACGAAATACGCTTCAAAGCCTTGTCGTCTTTTCTACCGCTGTATTCCTTATTGTGTTTTAGGATTAAACAGGACGCTTCCATATGCATTACATCTGTCAATGTAGTTGAAGATTGAACGATCAATTCATGGTTGTTTGCTCAAAACCAACTTCCCCAATTTTCGCGGAGGCATCAATACGACAGTCATCGTCTCATCGGTCGCTGTTCAGAAAGAAGAGTGAAACACCGTCAGAAGTAATATTGTGATTTATTATTGTAATATTTGTTCACAGACCATAGTCATACGTGATTTATATGTTGGTGTAACAATAAAGAATCCTCGAGTCAACAATTGGTGTTTTGGTTTTTTCGTCCGTTATTACTAAGCGTTTCTGAGAAACTTCAAGCAACAGCGTGAGCCCGAGCGTAGCAAGAGCTGGGCATTAACGGTTTAAGGGACGTGGCTGACAGTTTCTGACGGAGAATCAGTTTTCGACTGGTTTGGACCGTTGGTAACAGATTGGATAGTTACCGTTCACCTTTCCTGGTGCCGGTCAAGTCCTCTTTGAACAAGCAATATCTGGAACGTTTTTGGAATTGGGTCAAGTTCAACAATGCCTGGGTCAAAGAAGGGACAGAGTGTCTTGGATGCAAACAGGAAAGTAAGTCATGGTGACTTGTCTGTTAATTGTAACGATGTGTCTGATGTTAAGCATGACATGGTTGATGTTACTGTTTCGCCGTTCAGGGATAATAGGAACATCAAACTCCCTAAATTTGAACCACGGTGTTTTGATGGAAACCCGGCTGATTATTTACAATTTGTAAAGGAGTTTGAGATCATGTTGAGTAGTTTTTTATTAAGTGATGAATTGAAATTGATGTATTTGATGAGATATTGCACTGGAGATGCTGCAAGAGCTATACAGTGCTGTAAGCTCATGCCCCTAATGAGGGATACGTTGAGGCTATGAGCATATTACGTCAAAGGTTTGGAAGACCTTCGATGATTGTAAGGAACGTATACGAAGCTGTCGAAGGTAATGGCAGTCAACTTCAAGATGACTCCAAGGCACTCACTGAGTTTTTAGATAATCTTATGACTTATAAGAATACCTTGATTTCTATGAATTGCATGAGTGACCTCAACTCGAGCTCAGTCCTAGAGGTAATTGCGAGACGCCTACCTACTCGGCTGCAAAGGAAGTGGGTAAAAATAAGCTCTCGTATAGAGGAGGAGGGTATCGAGCCAAGGTTTGATGATATTCTTAGACTGGTGAAGGACAGTGTCAACCAGGCGATGGGCAAATTCGCCAGCATTTTGCATTCTAAGGTAGAACCTAAGGAACCAGTGAATATAAGGAAGGCATTTGTGGTGAAGTCTCAAGACACAACGAGAAAGGATGAGTGTATTGTTTGCCATAACATGCATCAATTGAGTGATTGTAATCGCTTTATCGCTATGTCACCCGTAGAAAGGTTAAAAATGGCAAAGCAGAAGCGGCTGTGTTTCAGTTGTTTAAAGATTGGGCATACAAAGTGGAATTGTAAGGCGACAAATAAAAGAAGTAGTGGTTTAACGGATATGCACCCACTTCTGAGAACAGTGAACGAACCTGGGAATTCGGTTAATTGTAATAGTATCTCTAGACCCCTTGACATCCCACAAGTTTTCTTAGGGGTATTACCAGTTAAGGTGAAAGGACCGAAATCTTCAGTAGAGACTTATGCATTGTTGGATAATGGTTCAGACGTTACATTGATAGATGCTGAACTGGCTGGTTGCTTGGGTATTAAAGGCCCAAAGCAACCCTTGGTTGTAAATACTTTCAATTCTGCGAAAACAGTAGTATGTGAGCGAGTGTCATTTCAGTTAGAATCCTTGGCTACTGGGGAGACCGTGGAAGTGGATACTGCTTACACTACCTCCAGTATGAAACTTGGCGAAGCTATAGTACCTAGTCGTGAAACGGTTGTCGGTAAGCCATACCTGTGTGACATACCTCTTCCAACATTGCAAGATGGAAGAGTGAGAGTACTCATTGGATGTAGTGTGCCAGAAGCTCACAAGGTATTAGAAGAGAGATTTGGAGGTAGAGATGATCTGTTTGCGACGAAAACACCACTGGGATGGACAGTGAGAGGACCTATACCCATAGTCCACATATCATCATTAGTTACAAACGATGGGGACAAACTAGAAACTATGATTAAAAATATGTATGACAAGGAGTTTTGTGACTGCGGTGTCCCAGGGAAGGGTCGTTCTGTAGAAGACTTAAAAGCAGTTAAAATAGCCGAGGACTCTTGTAAATACGAAAACGGGCGTTTCAGCGTTGGCCTACCATGGAGATTCAAAGATAGACAGTTGGTTTGTAATAGGAAAGTTGCTCTTAAGAGACTAATGGGTTTACAGAAGAAATTTCTGTCAGATGCAGAACTCTGGTCCAAATATAAGGAAGTCGTCGATAAACATATAATGAAGGGTTACGTTGAAAGACTAGTTGATCAGAGTGAGCCAGGGAAGTGGTATTTGCCCCATCATCCCGTCTTTAACCCGAGGAAGCCAGGTAAACTCCGTGTGGTGTTTGATTGTTCTGCGAAACATGAAGGAGTCTCTTTAAATGATAATCTGTATAGTGGCCCAGATTGCGTGAGCTCATTAGTGGGACTGCTATTGAGATTCAGAAAGTTTACAGTTGCTGTCGCGGCGGATATTGAGGAAATGTTCCTACAGGTGAAGGTGCCAGAGAGTGACAGAGATCACTTGAGGTTTTTGTGGTTTGATGACGGTCCTTGTGGTAAGGTGTCAGAATATAGGATGACAGTGCATCCATTTGGTGCCACGTCCTCCCCGTTTTGTGCTAATTTTGCTCTACGAAAGGCAGTGTCCACATTTGGTTCTAATGATTTGCTGGACGTCATAGATTGTTGCTTCTACGTGGATGATTGTTTAGCCTCCTTCGATGATGATAAGTCTGCAGTTAGATTTGCAACAAGCATCACTGAAGTGTTAGCTAAGGCCGGCTTTCGTCTAACTAAGTGGGTCTCGAACAGCCTAGACGTTTTGAAGCATATAGATCCAGAAGACAGAGCACCTACCGTACGAGATTTGCCTGTTGATACTCTACCAGTTGAACGCACATTAGGTATGCGATGGGATGTGAACTCTGATACCTTTGGATTTAGTGTTGGTGATATTGATAAGCCAGTTACTCGGAGAGGTGTGCTCTCTGTGTTGTCGTCCGTGTTTGACCCACTTGGATTAGTAGCACCTTATCTACTTCCGGCTAGGAGGTTATTTCAAGAGACATGCAGGAAAGGGTTACAGTGGGATGAACCATTAAGTGAGAGGCAGAGAGAAGAGTGGAAGGGGTGGGTTAACAGTTTAAGAATGCTGAATCTACATTCCGTCTCACGTCCACTTAAGCCGTCGAGAAATCATGATATAATTGACTTCCATGTTTTTTCTGATGCCTCTGAGGTTGGATTTGGTGCAGCCGTATACATCAGAACCACCTTAAGGAATGATATAGATGTTAGCCTGGTGATGGGTAAATCTAGAGTTGCACCTCTAAAGACGGTTTCGATTCCGAGATTAGAACTTAATGCAGCCTTACTAGCTGCGCAGTTATTCACAACGGTGTGTAAAGAGTTGGATTACCCCAAGCATCCC